AAAGAATATATCAAATGTAAAATTAATAATTCATACCTCCTGTCTGGATTACGAGAATACTGGATGATCCGCTCATGTCTGTCCACTGCGTCGAACTATTTTTAATATTTACATGTAATGAGTTTGTTTGCAGCCTTTGAAAAACCGTTCCTGAATCCATTCATTATCCAAGTCGTCTGCCAAATATACCCCACAATGCAACGCCGCAGGTCAGTTCCGCGTCCCGTTGCTTTGTGCAGGACTCGTGCCAACAAAGGTGAATTTCGCGTGGTGAGTTTACTATGATAATTTCTAAATTTACTATGTTTATTTGGCATATTTGTGTATCTTTAACCAATGATTGCAACTATTAAGGCAAATTGTTCGCAATATGCCTCTGTACTTAGAAGCATCCAAACTTTCATTTGACCTCTGTGTGTTTATTTACATTTCGGGATTTAAAAATGGCGTCCTAAGTTTTTGTTGTCGTTGAAAATTATTTTCATTCGCGGTTATTTTCAAATCTGCTTGTTTGAAAGTTTAATAATTTTGTTCTATGCCTTTTGCATTACAGCTCCGGTGTGTTGCATGATCCATGGGTTTAAGATGAAGGGACTTTCATAAAAAAAATCCTCGGCTCGTATTACATCATTGCGACATTGATGTATTCATAGTAACTATGCAATTCGGGAAATACCCGAGTTTCCTGATACGTTTGAAAGTTAGACGATAAGAAGGCAGATGAGATAGATTGTTGTTCTTACAACGTCAATTCACCCATTCCCGATTCTAACAACACGATAATGGCCGTTCCGGTAGATATAATGGACGTTCTCCCGATGGAAATTTGCATGGAAATCGCCCTGAAAATGGACGCCTCTACGCTTTGTTACATGTCACAGACATGTAAATCGTGGAACAATGCCATAGGTAACACCGAATGGTTGTGGAGACTGTTGTGCCTAAAACTCATAGATGATCAAATGTATGTACAGAAAGATAGGTTACAGGGCTTCTCATGGAAGGTAAGACTTTCTGTACATATTTACATGTAAATATGATGGG